GCTCAATTTTATCACAGGTACTGTTGATAAGTGGCTGCTGTTGGTGATGCTCCTCTTTGATCTCCTTTTCCTCTGCAACATGATCTACAACATCAGCTTCTGGGACACTCCCTGACGCATTAGGAACAATTTCGACGGCAGAGACGGCAATCTTTAGTTGCTTGCTATCCTTGGATGTGCTGGGCAGCTCCTCGTCGGGATCGTCGTCCAGGTTTATGGTGGCTATCGTTGTGGGTGCCGACGGCTTGCGTTGCGAAGGACTGCTCGATGGACGTTTGAGGACGCGACGCTGCTGCTCGTTTACAACAGTGTTGTTTTCGAGAGGCATGGATGTTCTATCTGTTGCTGTCGCTGCTACGGTAGTATTTGTGGTTGCTGCTGTCGTTTCGCACTTTGTGCTCTGCGGAATCAAAAGAATTAGGTAACTGGACTCGGTTATAGAATGCTTGTTGTTTGCTTACCAAATCAAATTTTAATTCAGTCTCATTATCACATGTTGCTTGTTGTTGCTGTGGTTGTGGTTGCGATGTCGCTGGTGGTTTGGGCTCACTCTTAATGCTGGATACCGGAACCTTCTGCTCCTTGGGCTCTCCTCCCGGCTTGCTGTTCATCTTGCTCCTGGCGTTCTTCTCGCCCCAGTAGGGCTCAAAGTGCTTTAGCTTCCAGGGATCCAGCTTATTTTTCTCCCGCTCAGCTTCCGTTTTCAGTTTCAACTGGTTCTCTGGCGTGAATTCCCCTTCGCTCAACCGTTCCCGCCACTCCAAGCATGCTCGGGCAAAGAACTCGTTGTTTAGGCACGAGGCACTGAGCCTTATGCCCTCCGAGGATGAGCTTCCTCCGCTACCACTGCCGCTGCTGCTACCGGGCAGCTCCAACTCGCTAGCCTCGCGATCCACGCTCGGCAGCAGTTGTATGAGATTGTATTGATAGATCGGCGGCAGGAGCGAGAACGTTTGCTTGTTGAGCAGCGCCCTCAGGTTGGTGGAGGCCAGAATGGAGTCGGGCGTCTCCAGATCTATCTTGCCGTCCTTCGTCTGCTCAATTTGCGCCGCTGTCGTCAGCTTCTTATTGCTTCGCCGCCGGGGCTTCACACTAAAGCCAGGTATGGACGCCAAAACCTCGCGCATGGTTGAAGCTTGCGAAGAGCCCGCCTTGCTACCAGGTGACAAGGCTGGTGGATGGTTACCGGCAGCCTGGGCTTGTGCTGAGGCCGCTGCTGCAGCTGCTGCCGCCGCCGCTGCTGCTGCTGCTGCTGCTGCCGCTTTGGCCTGCTGCTGCTGCTGGATGCGTCGGCTGCTGATTAAACGCGCGGGTGGAGCAGGAGCAGGATTAGCGGGTGTGGGTGGCATTGGCAAATGGCCAGGCAGAGTCGCTAGCGCATCTTCACTGGGCGCCAGGGGCTTCTTCTCAGGTGGTATTGGTTTCACGATAATGCGTGGCAGGTGGCGTCTACAAATAGAAGATATTATTAGGGCTCTGGCTTGAAGGGTCCCTTCTTTACAGCAAAACCCACCTCAGACTGTGCGTGTGCTTGGTGGTGGGCGACACCTCCATCTGCTCCAGCGCCAGTGGATCCTTCTCATCGTCATCCACTAGGTTAACATGCTCCATTATGATCTGAGGCGGCGGAGCAGCCACCAAGGTCTGCTGGTGCTGATTCTGGTGATGCTGCTGCTGGTGCTGCAACGGATGATGCTGCTGATCCGATTGTGGAATGAGAAGTTGTTGATGCTGCGACGATGCCGTCGTTGTATCCGGCGTTATGGTTTTCATTGTTAATCGCTCTATCGCCTAATCTATTTACAGTGAACTTTTTATCCATGCATCCATGTCAGGCAAGTTTTTTCCGCACATACTATTAAATATATATGGAAATAGGAAGTTGTACGATTAGTTTAAAGTTTTCAAAGGAATCCGAATCGAATTCCGGATTCAGAACTCGGCCTGTTGCGAGTTTATAAAATTGTATGATTATTCCTTGACCAATGTGGAGTAATTTCAGGGATTTGTATATTAATTTACCAGGGAAAACTAATAGAAAACTAAATATACTAAAGACTTTGACAACTTGACTAGTTTTAATATATAGTATCACGTATATAACCAATTAGGAGGTTTGCTTAAACTATTAAATATTTTTTAATAAAAACTGTACATAAATATTGGTTTTCAATATATGTCTATGTTTACAATTTTATACAATTATTTTCACTTTTTTTTGGAAATGAAATAAATAATAGAAAAACACTTAGGACAGTGATTTTAGAGTTTTGTAAACACAAAAATACATAAACAGACCGTATTTAGAAAATAAGTTATGAATGAAGTTAACAATACAAAAATACTCATAGAACAAAGCCCAATTACTCTCAAGTTATTCCTTGGTTTTCGAACTAATTGGTTTTCTTTCAACTAACGATAAAAGGAGTTGTTGTTTTACAGGGGTTTCTCCCTCAACCGATGCGGGGCGAGCTTAGCCCAAGCAGATGCAGTTTTCCCAAAGACCAAATTCAGAGATGGGCCAGCGATTAGGAAACGGGTTCTTTTGTGAGTTTATTGCCAAGCATATATATTATTCCTGCACGCTGCACTAACCTGGCCAGCGGAATTGTCCATTTTAAGGCAAATGTCTGTATAATTTCAACGTTGCGCCCTTTGTATATGCACTGCCATCTGTGTGTATGTACGTGCGTGCGTGTGTGTATTTAAATATACAAGGGTGTATATGTGTGTCTCGAATTTATATGTAATCGAATTGCGGCTATGCGGAGATTTTTTTTCTTCACTTTTCCTAGTTCTTCGCTTAAATTCTCGTTTTCATTTGAATTTTTCTGCACTCGCCTGCAAAAATCAACAAAAACAACAATGTAACTACGAACAACAACAACAACGACGACGAAGAACGACCTGCAAAGTTGTTGGTTGGTTATATTTTTTTCTCACGCACTCACACACACGCACACACGGATAGGCAGAGCCGAGGCGCAGAGAAGTAGAAAAATTGCTTTTGCTTCTATTTTAAAGCCAATGTGCGGGTGTTTAACCTCCTATTATACAGATTTCGGGCCGTGGTGCAGCACTATCATTTGCATAATTACGATTTGGGCACCGTTAATGGCTCACTGAATTAAATATTGAATGGGGGAAATGTGAATGCCAAACACACAAACAAAAGCAACTACAAAATGATTCTTTTCTAGCTCCCTATGCCGGTCCCTTTCTGGCTCAGGCGTTTCATGCTATCTGGCCAGCGCCCGTCCTGCTCGCACACTCTACGCAGAAAAGCTGCGTTTAATTGAATGAAATGTTGTTATTGAGTTCGTGCTCTCAGCTTTAATTACACCAACTAGACCCGCACCTTGCGTCCCGCACTTCCAATGTTTTATAATTTTTCGTGGCCAGTTTTAAACGCAAAACGCTCGAATTGTTGTCACTGCTTACGAAACGGAGTTGCCACCTTTTGTTTTTGTGAGGTGACGCAGATTTTGCGTCGCAGAAGAAAAAGCCAGAAGAACTATCCAAATCTAGCTATAAGTTTTGGATCTTGCTACAAAAAAGCCAAGCGAAACGGAGAATTTATTGAAGTTATCGTTAACGAAATTTAGCTCTAGCCGTATAGAGATGGGCAATTGTAAATATCGTATCGATCGTAAATATACCCTTGCAGGGTAATATCATTTCAGAAGAAAATGTTTGCAACGCAGTGAAGGAGTCATTTCTGACCATATAAAGTATATATATTCTTCAACAGCATTAGCAGCAGAGACGGTCTAGCGCACTGCATCTGTCGGCTTTTACGCCTACTAGTCCCTCAGTTTTAAAGCTGTCTAAAAAAAACATTGCAGTTCGTCTTCTATATACTTTCACTCGATTATAAGTCGAAACGTAACGTATCGGACGACAATATAATAAAGTTGCTATAGGATAATTTTTCGGATAATAATTATAACTTTTGCCGTTTTCAACATAAATTCATGAAATTTGACATACATTCATTGTGTACCATTTCTAGAATATCGGTTAAAATTTTATGAAAATCGCACTACTATATTATATGGCTGCCATTGGAACGATCGAGAAATTAATGCAATTAAAAATTAAATCTTTTACATTATTCAACATATTTTCATTAAAATTTGAGATATTGACATTTTGAATTAGTTCTAGAATATCGGCTTAAATTTTATGAAAATCGGACTACTATATTATATGGCTGTTATTAGAACGATCCCGAAATTAATGCATTTGAAAATGATAAATGTTACAGTTTTCAAAATATTTTCATCAAAATTTGAGATATCTACATTTTGTATTATTTCTTAAATATCGGTTTAAATTTTATGAAAATCGGACTACTGTATTATATGGCTGCCATAGGAATGATCAAGAAATTAATGCAATCAAAAATTATTATTTTTAAATTTTTCAACATATTTTCACAAAAATGTACGATATAACCATTTTGTATTATTTCTAGAATATCGGTTAAAATTTTATGAAAATCGGACTACTATATAATATGGTTGCAATTGGAACGATCGAGAAATTACTGCAATTAAAAATTAAAATTTGTACAGTTTTCAAAATATTTTTTCATCAAAATTTGACATAGAGCCATTTTGTATTATTTATAGAATATCGGTTTAAATTTTATGAAAATATGACTACTATATTATATGGCTGCCATAGAATATATCGTTAAATTCAAAGGAAAATATATAATTTACATAAATATAATTTATATTGTATTAATTATTAATGATCGAATTGTATTTTACTAGGGTATCGCCGACAGGAAGTTTGTTTTTCCCTTTCTTGTTTGAATTAATTTTGTAGATTTATAAAAAATAAAATTTGTAGAATTATTTATTATGCTTCGCGACGCGCAATGCTAAAATAACTTTAAATTTATAACATTTGCGGAACAAAATATCGTAATAAAAATATTCGTTACTTCCCAAAAATATCGATATCTTAATATATTATTTGCACATCTCTAACAGCCGGCTAATTGTTGAACTTGTTAAAATTGTTTAATAATGTTTTAATAAGTTGCGGGACCAAGTGAACCACACTACCGCAATGTTTTCTATGTCCAAACAGACGCATGCCGCCACGGCGCTGGAGTTCTCGATAGCGTGCCGCTTCTTCAACAACCTGGAGGAGAACCTTGTGGTGGCGGGAGCTAATGTGCTGAAGGTGTACCGCGTAGCGCCCAACGTGGAGGCGGGCCAGCGGCAGAAGCTGAATCCGAGTGAAATGCGTCTGGCGCCCAAGATGCGGCTGGAGTGCCTGGCCACGTACTCGCTGTACGGTAACGTGATGTCCCTGCAGTGTGTCTCACTGGCGGGCGCCATGCGGGACGCTCTGCTCATTAGTTTCAAGGATGCTAAGCTATCGGTGCTGCAGCATGATCCGGATACGTTTGCCTTGAAGACTCTCTCCCTGCATTACTTTGAGGAGGAGGACATACGTGGCGGCTGGACGGGTCGGTATTTTGTGCCAGTTGTGCGTGTGGATCCGGATGCCAGGTGTGCCGTAATGCTCGTCTACGGCAAGCGGCTCGTTGTGTTACCCTTTCGCAAGGACAACAGTCTGGACGAGATCGAACTGGCAGATGTGAAGCCCATCAAGAAGGCACCCACGGCCTTGGTTAGCAGGACGCCTATAATGGCATCCTATCTGATAGCGCTACGTGATTTGGACGAGAAAATCGACAATGTGCTGGATATACAGTTTCTGCACGGTTACTATGAGCCCACGCTGCTGATACTCTACGAGCCGGTGCGCACCTGCGCGGGCAGGATCAAGGTGCGCTCGGATACCTGCGTTCTGGTAGCCATTTCCCTGAACATTCAGCAGCGAGTTCATCCCATTATTTGGACGGTCAACAGTCTGCCCTTCGACTGTCTACAGGTATAAATGCGATTTTATTGGATGTTGAATGAAAACTAATGTTCGACTTCTTTACTTTCCAGGTTTATCCCATTCAAAAGCCCATTGGTGGCTGCTTGGTGATGACTGTGAATGCCGTGATCTATCTTAACCAAAGCGTTCCACCTTACGGCGTCAGCCTAAACAGTTCGGCAGATAATAGCACCAGCTTTCCACTAAAACCACAGGATGGAGTACGCATCAGTTTGGATTGTGCCAACTTTGCCTTTATCGATGTGGACAAGCTGGTGATCTCGCTACGCACAGGCGATCTCTACGTTCTCACACTCTGCGTGGACTCGATGAGAACAGTGAGGAACTTCCATTTCCATAAAGCTGCCGCCAGCGTCCTCACCAGCTGCATCTGCGTCTTGCACTCGGAATACATCTTTTTGGGCTCACGGTTGGGTAATTCCTTGCTGTTACACTTTACGGAGGAGGATCAGAGCACAGTGATAACGTTGGACGATGTGGAGCAACAGGCGGAGCAGCAGCAGCAGCAACGTCAGCAGGACGAAGGACAGGATGTAGAGGAGATCATGGATGTGGATGAATTGGAAACGGTTCCCCCACAAGCAAAGTCGCGGCGGATAGAGGATGAGGAACTGGAGGTAATTTGATGGCTTCTACTTTTAATTATCTAAATTTCTAATCACTGTCGATGGTTAATCTCTCAGGTGTACGGTTCTGGAGCCAAGGCTTCGGTTCTCCAGCTGCGAAAATTCGTGTTCGAGGTATGCGACAGTCTCATCAACGTGGCACCCATCAACTACATGTGTGCTGGCGAAAGAGTGGAATTTGAAGAGGATGGAATCACGCTGCGGCCACATGCCGAATCTCTACACGATTTGAAGATTGAACTGGTTGCCGCCACGGGCCACAGCAAGAATGGAGCACTGTCTGTGTTTGTGAATTGCATTAATCCGCAGATCATTACCAGCTTTGAGTTGGATGGCTGCCTAGATGTGTGGACTGTGTTTGATGATGCCACCAAGAAGACTTCCAGACATGATCAACATGATTTTATGCTTCTTTCGCAAAGGAATTCCACATTGGTGCTTCAAACAGGCCAGGAAATCAATGAGATCGAGAATACTGGTTTCACGGTGAATCAGCCAACGATTTACGTGGGCAATCTTGGTCAGCAAAGGTTCATTGTTCAGGTGAGTCTTGTATTTAGTATCTTACTTTCCATAAATACTAATTAATGTATTTCCATTGGTTCCCACTTAGGTCACCACTCGTCATGTCAGATTACTGCAGGGAACTCGCCTGATTCAGAACGTTCCCATTGATGTCGGCTCGCCTGTGGTGCAGGTATCCATAGCGGATCCCTATGTTTGCCTGCGTGTGCTCAATGGCCAAGTTATAACGCTGGCGCTGCGAGAAACTCGTGGAACTCCCCGGTTGGCCATCAACAAACACACCATCAGCAGCTCCCCCGCCGTGGTAGCCATTTCCGCATACAAGGATCTATCGGGATTGTTTACCGTCAAAGCGGACGATATCAATCTTACAGGAAGTTCGAACAGTGGATTTGGCAACAGTTTTGGCGGCTACATGAAGGCGGAACCCAATATGAAGGTGGAGGATGAGGAGGATCTGTTGTACGGCGATGCTGGAAATGCCTTCAAGATGAACAGTATGGCAGACTTGGCGAAGCAGTCCAAGCAAAAGAACTCCGACTGGTGGCGTCGACTTCTGGTGCAGGCGAAGCCCAGCTATTGGTTGGTGGTGGCCCGACAGAGTGGCACTTTGGAGATCTACTCCATGCCGGACATGAAGCTGGTGTATCTGGTTAATGATGTGGGCAACGGAGCAATGGTTCTCACGGACGCCATGGAGTTTGTGCCAATCTCGTTGACCACGCAGGAGAACTCCAAGGCGGGCATTGTCCAAGCCTGTATGCCGCAGCATGCCAACTCCCCACTGCCGCTGGAACTTAGCATCAATGGCTTGGGTTTGAATGGAGAGAGACCGTTGCTGCTAGTGAGGACTCGAGTGGAGCTGCTTATCTATCAGGTGTTCAAGTACCCCAAGGGACATCTCAAGATCCGGTTCCGAAAGCTGGAACAACTAAATCTGCTGGACCAGCAGCCCTCGCACATTGAGTTGGATGAGAACGATGAGCGCGAGGAGATGGAGTCCTATCAAATGCAACCGAAATACGTCCAAAAATTGCGTCCATTCGCCAATGTAGGAGGACTGTCTGGCATCATGGTGTGTGGAGTGAATCCCTGCTTTGTTTTCCTCACCTCCCGGGGGAACTTCGCATCCATCGGCTGCTGGGAAATGGTGATGTACGCAGCTTCGCGGCCTTCAACAATGTGAATATTCCGAACGGATTCCTGTACTTTGACACCACCTATGAGCTGAAGATCTCTGTGTTGCCCAGTTACCTGAGCTATGACTCTGCCTGGCCAGTGAGAAAGGTTCCGCTAAGGTGTACGCCCAGGCAATTGGTCTATCATCGCGAGAATCGTGTCTACTGCCTGATCACCCAAACGGAGGAACCGATGACCAAGTACTATCGGTTTAATGGCGAAGATAAGGAGTTGTCCGAGGAGAGTCGTGGCGAGCGGTTCATCTACCCCATTGGATCACAATTTGAGATGGTGCTAATCTCACCCGAAACCTGGGAAATTGTTCCAGATGCATCTATTAAATTTGAGCCCTGGGAGCATGTGACAGCCTTCAAGATTGTCAAGCTGTCGTACGAGGGCACGAGGTCGGGTCTCAAGGAGTATCTATGCATAGGAACCAACTTTAACTATAGCGAGGATATCACCAGCAGAGGAAATATCCACATCTATGACATCATTGAGGTGGTTCCCGAACCCGGCAAACCCATGACAAAATTCAAGCTGAAGGAAGTCTTCAAGAAGGAGCAAAAGGGACCGGTTTCCGCCATCTCAGACGTGCTGGGTTTCCTGGTCACTGGCCTTGGCCAGAAGATCTACATCTGGCAGTTGCGTGACGGAGATCTCATTGGCGTGGCCTTCATCGACACGAATATCTATGTGCATCAGATCATCACGGTTAAGTCATTGATTTTTATTGCGGATGTCTACAAATCCATTAGCTTGCTGCGCTTCCAGGAGGAATATCGAACATTATCACTTGCCTCGCGCGACTTCAATCCCCTGGAAGTCTATGGCATTGAATTTATGGTGGATAACTCCAATCTGGGCTTCCTGGTGACCGATGCAGAGGGAAACCTGATTGTGTACATGTACCAACCGGAGGCCAGGGAATCGCTGGGTGGACAGAAGCTTCTGCGGAAGGCAGACTATCATATGGGTCAAGTGGTGAACACCATGTTCCGAGTGCAGTGTCATCAGAAAGGCCTGCATCAACGCCAACCCTTCCTGTACGAAAACAAACACTTTGTGATCTATGGAACTCTGGATGGAGCTCTGGGATATTGCCTGCCGCTGCCGGAGAAAGTGTACAGGCGATTCCTTATGCTGCAAAACGTTCTGCTCTCCTACCAGGAGCATCTGTGTGGCCTCAATCCAAAGGAATATCGCACTATAAAGACCGTCAAGAAGCAGGGCATCAATCCGTCACGCTGCGTCATCGACGGCGATCTTATATGGTCATATCGATTACTGTCCAACTCGGAACGAAATGAGGTGGCCAAGAAGATTGGCACGCGAACGGAGGAGATCTTGGGTGATCTGCTGGAGATTGAACGACTATCTGGCGTTTTCTAGACTTCCGTGGGTCAAAGATGTAAAGTCTTAGTTGATAATTTTAATTGTAATTTATGTTACGCGAGTTTCTCAGTTGTAATTCTAGTTCTTTTTGTAATTCTATCGAAGCAACAACAAAGTATTTTGTTAAGGAAACTGGATGCTGTTTTATGCGGGGGTTAAAAAAGGTTTAAGGTAGTAATTATAACCTGATTTACAGATCAAAGACCAAGGTATTAAAGCCATTGCCCAATAATAAAACGAAAACAATTAATGACATAAGATTGGACGCCTTTGTGGTGCGTCTTGCTTTGCGTCACAGCTGGAGCTGATGGCATTCTTTATGGTTTCTTTATGATTTTTTGTATAATATATATATATATAATGTATGTATATGTATACTAGATTATTCATTGTATAAACTAACAACATCATCAGTATCAGTATCAGTTAGTTAACTCAATGTGCAACAGCCAACGACAGCCGTACTACACTCGTCGTACGAAGAAAATACACATTTCCAATCGAAGATCATCCGAAAAAATGAAAGAAAAAAACTTATAGGCGATAATATTATTAAAGAAATTGCAAACTGTCTGCTTAGTTGGTACTTGGTAGGTGGTGCGTATGTGGTTTCATATGTAGGTGTTGTTAGATGAAGGACATGTTGTGTTTTGTTTGTCTGTGGAAGGCGCTTCGTGTGTTGTGTCCTTTTGTTTCGTTGAGCAACTAATTTAGTTTAGGTAGCGAAAACAAACAATCAATCAAGGCGGCTGGGCTACAAGCTAACAAAGTATGCAGATTACGAGCTGATATATGTATATATATATATATATATATTAATATATATATATATAAATATGTGTACGTAGTGGTGACTCCTAAAATCCACGCCAGCGCCGCTAGCCCTCAATCTGAGATCGCAGCCGGGGTCGTGGAAGGTCTCCAAACACAGCCTCGCCATGGACGCTCTTGGTCAGCGCCTGAATGCTGGCCGCTATATCGATGTTGTCCATTCCCTGTTTCAAATAAACAAATATTAGTAATCGCAAATGAATAACTTATGCCGTTAATCTCACCTCCTCGCATCCCATAACATAATTGTTATTATTGGCTCCAGCAGCTCGCTCAGCCAGCGTGGTGTTGGCTATCTCGATGGGCAGGCTCCGGGCGAAGTTCATCAGCTGCGCCTGCGTGGGACGACCACCTCGCGATGGTATGGAAATGGAGCTGTCCAGGTCGAGAGCATCTATAGATAATCAACGATTGTAAACATTAAAATCTGTAATTATTTAGACTATTAAGCGTGTACCCACCTTCAGCTTCGTCTGCTGCCTCATCGTCCAGTACATTTCCCATGCTGCTCTCCTGCTCCAGATTCTGGAACGGATTATGACGTGATTGGTGCGACTGCTGCTGGTAAATCATGTTGCGCGGATAGCTAGGCACCGGCACAGAGTGCACAGCCGGTGCATCCACATCCTCCAAATCGAAAAGACAGTCATCCGCATCGTCTGCTGCAGCCTGCGACGAAGGGACTCCATTGGTGGCCAACATTTGGGTGGGTTGACCACCACCTGAACCGCCAGACGATTGCTGTCGGAAGGTGGGACTATTGCCCACGCTCATGGGCGTGGCTTCTGGGGTGGCGGGTGGTGTGTCAAAATGTGACATCTTCCTGGCAACCGAGGAGGCACCGGATAGTGGCTGCTGCTGTTGTTGCTGCTGCTGCTGTTGCGGCTGCTGGTTCAGCGTAAGGAAGCTGGGTGGATGATTCAGCGTGGTGGTGGGCGTGGTGGGTCCATTCAACTCCCGCCGGCTGCTAATGGTATTCCTTCGCCGGGCAGTGGCACTCTGCGGCTGATTGCTCGCCACTTCCAGGGCGGGGGGCATGGCACGGTCCAGCAGCTCCAGGGCCTGCCCGGGCTGCTCACGGATCAACCGCTGCAGCAGGGCCAAGTCCTGGTCCGATTTCTCCCGGAAGCTGTTCAGCAGCTGGAACTGATTATTGGCATATCGCTCAATTCGGCTGTTCGTCTCCATAATCTCCTCCTGCACACGTGCCTGCTGATAGGCCTGGAGCATTCGGCTCCTCTGGACCCAGGAGTCGTTCGAGTTACCGCTGGACTTAATGCTCAGGCTCGATGCCGAGGCAGCAATGCCACTGGTAGATCCCGCTGGCATCGAATCCTTGCCACTGTCTTTGTCCATACCCATGATCAGCAGCTCAAAGGTCTCCGAGTATGACTTGTTGGACCTGCGCTGTGCTAGCTCCTCACTGCTGCTCAGCAGCCTGAGGTTGATGAGGTAGAGGGTGGGCGTGGCCCCGGCACCGGCCGTCAATCGCTTGGCGCACAGCACCTCCTTGCAGTTGATGCAGAAACTCAGCTGCCAGCTTTGGCCAGCGGCCTCCAAGGTGAGGCCATAAAGCAGCTCCCGCTGATTGATTATGGACACGGTGAGGTCTGGAATGGGTCCATGGGCCTGTAAAGATGGAGAAAATGAAGAAAATTAGATAATTGTTTATGAATAGCTTTATATCTAAGAAGGTTAATCATTACTTGAACAATATTTACATTATTTAGTCAGCATTTCGCCAGAGAACCGCTTCACTTATTTTATGACTGTTTTGATAAGAGTTTCCCCACACAACCTGGTCAATGCCTGATAAAGTGGATTACCAATTTCCCCAGCCTTGACTGATCCCAACCCCCTTTTTCTTCGATATTTACCCAGTCAGACAGACAACATACAGTAGTTCAAGTGCAAATTTGTCAATTATGTTCGTTTCGAGTGCTGCACCCGGTGGGAGGAGACTTATCGGAGAACAAGAGACCCATGATGAACACCGAAAACAACAAACAATTAGTGCAATGGCAAAATGCTGTTGAGTTCCAAAATGAAAACAATGCAGACTACTTGAATTAATTCAGTGACACAGCCCAGAAGATGTGAGTTGGGTAAACAACAAGCTTCGATATCAAACAATCAATGGGAAAAGATATGGCAAACATTGTGGAAAACCAGACAGACATGAGGTTACCACACACAGCTTTATACTATACAAAACTATTCCCCTTCTTTAAATTAAATGAATAAATTCCAACAAAATTCCCGCATTTTATGCACTATAATTCCGGCATGTTTTCGTTTCATGAAAATAGCACGTGTTCGACGACTGACACAGGAGCGAAAAGCACTTTTTATAGACGTGCTCGGCTAAATTTGACACTTGCCTTCAACACAATTCAAGCAATAATATTCATATAACCCAGACGATGGACAACGGACAACAATGAAACCAGCAGGGGGACAGTGGTTAGGGCTTGAGGGGGCAATACATGGAATTAAATTGAATTAACGTATGAAATGCAAACGTCAACAGAAATCAAATGACAATGTTGGGCCACCCTCTCTCCTCCCCTATAGACCATCAACATTATCCTCTTCAGGTGAAGATAATTATGAGATCATGCATATCCCATTAAAACGCAACTTTGTTTTGCTTTAAAATTGTGATAAAAACCATAAACAATTTGATTTGAATGCAAATATTGACCAAGTTTGGTTAAAAATACAATAAATTTCGGTTGAAAGTCAGTGGAAATATTTTAATTTGTATGCAAATTCATTAGCTGCTATATAATATTTTTATGATTAAAATGTAGAAAAGAAAACAAGAGTGAGCTATATATGTATGGTATGCAAATTCCACCAGGGCTATTTATATAATTCCATATTGTTTAAACTTAGTGAAGCCAATTTCCGGGCATTTCAAAACTGCAGCTGAATTCCTATTTTCAAAAATTTGTTTTCGTATACATTTTGAACAATAACAAGTTGTCACACCCACTCGAAAAAAATATTGTTTTTAATGCAAATTCCAAACTTGTTTACACTGCGGTAATATCTAATCAGCCGCAGTCGCAGCCGCTTGGCGACAATAATTATATGAATGAGGCACAAATAAAAAGCCAAAGAACAACAACAAAAAGCAGCAAAGCCCAGCAAATAGCAACAAATGACAATGCAAATGCATTGTTGTCAAGTGTTTTTGGCATGTTTGTGCTGTTGCTGTTGTTGCTATTAATATTATTACTGCCGGCCAGCCAGCCAGTCCAACGCATAAACATATTTATGGGCTCAGGCATATTTGCTCAGTTTAAAATTGCAGTTTTTTATGACTGTTTTCGCAGCTACAAGAGTCTGGGCTCCGGCCTGTTGTTTTTCTTGCTGCTAATTTGTTTCGCTGATACCCTGTAGTACTAGGTAGATGTGTAAGTAATATTAACCAGATTAGATTGTGTCAAAATAAAAAGGGAGTAAACTCTGGGTTATGATTTTTAATTTTAGATTTATGACTTTATCTGATACATATAATTAAGATTGCCGACATTTGAGGCAATGAAATTTAAAAAATAACAAATTGGGTCGATTGTGGGTTCAATCAATTTGGTATCCTCATGTTCTATCGTTATTAAATAATAAAAATAAAAATAAGAAATATACCCATTATAAGCCTCAACTGCTTGCCTTTCTTTAATATCTCTCGCGCTCTGTCCTTCACTCGTTGCCTGCAATGTACAAGCATCGTAAAGAGGTTCACATTTTTACTCTCCAATTTAAATCAAGCTCTATTTTCTTATTGTTTACATGAAAAGAAGGCAAAATTCCAGGGTAACTGGTTAATCGATCATCCCCAATCACCATCCATCATTCATTCTTGAATTTTTTAGCGTTATTTACAGTTTTTATGGCCCGGCTGGCTAAGCTTAAAGTGGGTGTTTTTCTTGTTGACTTGCTCGCGGCTTGGCCCCGACCGCCTGACATTATCAGTTTTGGGGTTGTAAAACGTTGAGTGGGCAGGAAGGAAGGTAGCTCCATGCCTTTACTCCCTACCCCTCTTCTGGTGCATCCGGGATAAAGACAAGGAACGGAATGCATTTTTGCAATGTACATTTTGTAAGAAGTTGCAGTGCACAACATCTCACGCTCACAGTTTGCGCCATTTGCCAAGTGTCAATGACTCTTCTTAGTGACTTTCAGACCTGCAATGACAATTCAACAATTGAAGGCAATTCGCTTGAGTTGCTTAATTAACGTAACTGCCTGTCTCTCTCCTCTCTCTGTCTCTCTGTTCGAATTATCGACTTCTCTGGCTTAATTGAAATTAAATGTCTGTGCTAATTATGCTGTGGCGCCACCGTTTTGTTAATTAAATAACCGTCGTCTTTGACGTATGACCGTTTGTTTTATGGCCAGGCCCGCACACATTTGATTAATTGTAATCGCTCTTTGCGCGTCTTCTGCCCGAAAAAAATAAATAACCCAGCAAAGGTAAAAAAAGAAACAAACGTAAACAATAATAAATAATAATAATACAGAGCTAGAAAACAGACGGACGCAGCTGATTCGCTCGGAGGAAACGCGACGAGGAGCACGTAGTTCAGTCACAGACGCTGCTCGCATATCGGAAATCAATATAAATCGTTTTAATTGAAGCTTTGGCATTTAAATAATGTATGCAATCTAAAGGGAAACAGTTGCAATTGTGCCAACTGTCGAATTTGTTGTCAAACTGTCAGTGAGGAACTGTCGGGGATCTCTTAATATGCACAATGGATATGAAAGCGATGTCTAAAAGTGTCCAAAAACAAATGTTTACATACAAATTTATATTTATTAGGAATATTAGGGGAATAATGTAAAGAAACAGTTTTAACAGCAATTTAAGCATTAAAGAAGCACCAAAAAGAAGCTAAATTAGGAAAAGCATAATTTCTATATCTTGCCTTTTGGTATTCATTCCGTTTTGTAAAAGGATAATCAAATCTTGTATAAGAAAAGTAATGATTGCAATGTTTTTTGACAAGGAAATGATAAGAAACCTGGTTAATGAATTTTCTTCACGATTAAAAACAAGCTATGAGGATTAAATCAGTCAATTTAAAAATGTTTAATGACATACAGCATCGCATATTATAGTCATAAAGTTGGCCATAAACTCAAGAGTTATATTCTTGCATTCAGACGGGAAGTTAGAGTGCTGCATCTTAGGGTTATGATCAATTATGCGATATATCTAATATCGATGACCGTCTGTTAAAGTTGTTGCGCACTTGAGTTGTTTTCTATTTTTATTTCATTTCAAATAATTTTGAATTCTATTCGTCTGAGCGACGACTGAAACAATTGAAATTCATATCACAGTGTCTGGCAATGCAGATCCCGAGCCGGATACCCGCCTCCTCGGCCGGCTTATGCAACAACCAGAACGATTCCCATAAAACAAACAACTTTAGAGCTTCTCAAAGTGTGTAATATTTTATTTTAATTTTTTTTCTTTCGCATTTTGCACATTGCTGCATAATTAATTTGTTGTTGCCGGTTGTGGGGCAATGGGTGTTGTGTAGTGTAATTGATTGCCCGGCATTAATTAAGCGGGCGGCCCGCCTGACACTCGATGTGTCTAATGGGTCTACTTAGGGTCTGTCAACCTCCAATACGAACATACGATTTTCCCCGTGCCATTTTCTTCTGCTTCTCATTTTCTTGCTTTTTTTATTTATTTATTTACCTTTTTTTTTGCATTTCAATTCGCTTTGCATATTGTGCTGGCAGAAAAACAAACAAACAACTTAGACTGTGACCAAAGGTACGTACTAGGGCCAAATCAGAAGGTTTATGATGAAAGATTATCAATATTTTAGGTCATTTAAAAATATATAGAATTGATAAAATAAGGTTTTAAGAACCAGGAGTCATTACTATATATTGAAGGCGTTTTTAAACCCCATATTTCACGATAGTAGTATTTAAGAACCTTAGATAAACCTATGTATTTAAAATGTATTCTAATCTTTGAATTAATTTACGCTTTTAATACATTTCTTTTTCTTAATATATTTTATTATTTATACTCCCCAGTCTATCCCGCGATAAGCTTTATATTTATAAATATTTTTTGTTATATTTTATATGTAGAATTAAAAGCAAAGTCATTTTGAAGACTACCACTTGGGGTGGGCGCTCTTTATCAATATGCTATTTTTTTTGATACCAACAACGGGGAAAAGTGAAGAGGGGGCATTAACCTGTTGCAAGTGTTGGCACCTTTGTTAATTACCAATCAATCAGGTCATCAATCATCCATGTAGCTGGCACACCTTTCGCCTAAAAACAACCAAAATACTAAATAATAGAAAATAACAATCATTTGCCTCGATTGACGCATTTTCCTTTGTTTTGTTTTCCATTTCTATTTCTATTTTCATTGGATTTTACTTTTTTTGATGAATGTATGTATGTATGTAGCTTTGAGATAACTTTGCCTTGTTTCGTTTCATTCGGCAGAAACCGAAAACTGAGCCAAAAAGAAAATAAGTTGTAAACAAATCAACTGGCAAAAGAAACTACGAAAATAATCTTTTATAGATTTGGGATCCCTCTTTACCTCCTTGGATGCGGGGTGCGCTTTGGGGTGC